AAATCTGTCAGATATTGTAGAGTGTTCATGTTTGCAAAATGAACTAGATTACAAACACCTTCAATGTTAGCATAAATTTTCACTTCTTCCTGTAGACAGTGCAGAACTATATTGATCAGGGGTCAGTTCTATAGAATAGAACTCGTAATAGCTACTTTAGGCAAAAACGGGATCTACTAGTTATGCATTATTGGTTTATAGAATTGTTGGGATGGAAGGAGAAATAACATATTCAGGGCTTTCAGGAATGATTTCTAAAGACACACTGCAGAACTGAACACCAAGAGCCAGCTGTTGTACGTATAATCAGGAAGCAAACTGAAAAGCTGAGAAGCTAATGCTGGTGCTGGAATCTCCAGAACCATACTGACACTGCACAATTAGGAAGTCACTTCTGTTACAAAAGTGCCATGTCTAGGAAGCCACAACGAATAAGAAGTCTCCATGAACAGGAAGCCTCCTTGTTGCTGCTGGCTCCAGAAACACATCATATTCATCGTGACAGGTACCAGAAAATTGACATTCCATGCTTTGACTATCACCACCCATGAAACTAGTGATCAACTTCTGAGACTTCTGATAGTATTGCCACACAAAAAATTAGAAGCCTATAGACCATGCTTCAGCCTAGGGGAACAGCAAATCAAGAATAAATTCTGTTTCCATCTACCTTGCTACCCAACTCCAGCTCCAAAAAAAAAGGTCTGGATATGTAGTTTTTAGCTTTTCAGCCTCTGCAGTAAAGAATGGCATACGGGAGTGCCTGGGTGGCTCAGTAGGTTGAGCATCCGACCCAGCTCAGGTCATGATTTCACGGTTCCCCAGTTCGTGGGCCTGAACCCCATGTTGGGTTTTGTGCTGATATATTCAGATTCTCTTCTGCTTCAGATTCTGTCTCCCTCTCTGTCTGCCCCTCCCCCATGCACATGCGTGCACACTTTCTCTCTTTTTCTCTCTCTCTCTTTCTCAAAAATAAATAAACATTAAAAAGTAATAATAATGGCACACTGGAAGGGGCTGGAATGGATACTGCGCACTAACCTACCTTATCCCAGAAAGCAGCAGTAGTGGGGTTTTTTGGTCTTTTTGTTTTTTGGGTTTTTTAGTGGATTTTAAATGAAGCAAAGAGGAAGAAAAATGTAGACTTAAACTTTCTTTGTATTGAGCTTGATATGGCTAAAACTAAATTCATTATTGCTCTACCACCCAAACTATCACCCTATCTGGAATTTTCAGTTTCTATTACAGCTACTATTACGCAATGATTTATCTCATTTAGAAACCTGTATCTATGTGACATACAAGAAACATTTCTCACTAATATAAATAATACCCTACACTAAAAAATAGTGAGAACATTTAACTAGAAAGACTTTTATCATCGTAGATGCAACTCTTTGTACTAAAAATCACGTCAGCAAATTAAACCACTCTGACAGAGCTACGTATATCACTTCTACAACAGTGATTCCTTGCCTTTTTTTTCTGTCCCAAAACACCTAGTAGAATTTTTTTTTGAGTAATTATGACTCATTATGCCACAAAGTAAGCCAGTCATTAAAATTAAAGCTGTATTCTTCAGTTATGGATTGTAAACATAAATGTATTCAAACATCTTCAAAATTTACTACAATGAGTTGTGATTGAAATGGCAATAAACCATCAATAAACATTTTGTGAAACAAAGATCAGAAATTGGGAAATACAGGAGACAGGTTGGAGGCTCTAATACAGAGTGATTGATTGAATCATTTCTAATAAGTGGATAGTAAAGTACTTTAGAGAGCCTTAACTGTCATAAAAATGTGTATTCATTTGAATTGCATTATAACATGGATGACTCAAAAGAGCACTGAGATTTTGATTTTATATGAGTTAATCTTATACTTCATTCAAAACTGTTTAATTTGTAGCCACGTATCTAATGTATAACAAACTCCTGTTCACAGAGCTGATGATGGCTGTGTCCAGCAGTTTGACAGTAACGTGATTGTTCTACACAGCAACAAAAGAACCTGCGTCAACCAATGGTCACACATATCAGAAAAAAAGAAGCTTCTGTCACAGCAGAGGCTAAGAGCTCCCAAATTAGAACTGTATTTTCCAGTCGGAAGTTAGTCATTTAATCAATGGTTACTGCAATCTACTACCTATCAACTTCAACACAATCCCTGTATTTGAAAAACTTAGTTTCCTGTTGATACAGAATGTATACTAATAACTAATATACAGTAGGCCAAATACTGTAATAAAATATCTGTAAGATGCTGTGGAATGCAGGGTGAAAGCAATAAAATTTCTCCTTGGAGATGGGGAAGGCTTCAGGAAATCAGGAAATCTTCACAGACAAGGATATATTCAACTGAGGTCTTGAAGGGTAGGCAGGAAGTTGTCATTTTAAGAAGAACGAAGGGCACCCAAACAAGATATACAGTAGTTCGAAAGGTATGAGGAGATGCGAAAGACCATGAGGTATCGAGCATTGAGATTAACCAAAGTTATTAGAGGAGAGAGGTTTTTTTTTAAGGAGTTTCAATTTAAGGGCCCTGTTATGAAGGATCTTGTATTCTATGCTTGAGCACATTATTGGTGCTCAATATTTAGTGTTGACTGAAAAAAAATGAAAGAGTGCTCAAAAGCAATGAGAATCTATCAAAATGTTTTAAGCTGGGGAGTGACTTGATTAGATGTCATTTTAAATGAATTAGACAAGAAAAAGTGTGAAAGTAGGAGACTTCTGAGGAACCTACTGTAGCTCTTGAGACGAGGGAGGAAGTTGTGATCCTAGATAAGTTAAACGGTTTGCTCAAGGGCTCAGCTGGTGAGTAGCAAAACTGGCTACTCATTATTCACCACCTAAAATTTGAGATATCTATAAGAGGATTTCCATTGTCATGATGCAGTTGGAAACTGTGAGCAGGTATAACTGGCTAATAACGTTTCAGGATGTTTGCATCTTGTAGTTTTTTTTTGTTTGTTTGTTTTTTTAAGGAGACATCATTTGAACATTGGTATATTAACAATTAATGTGACTTGCAAATCAGCAAACCAAAGCAACTTCCAGAGGCTGATAAGCTGGTTTTTCTTTAATTTTGCGTATTTTTTTCATAAGGTAGGTAAGAAAGACATAGTTAACTAGATGATTATTTCTCAGAAATATTCCTATGCTTACATTTTTCTAGAAGCATTCTTTTCTCCCTGGCCACAATGCCAGTGACTACTTTTCTCATATTCCAACCATGGCTGTTTCACAGCATCCTATCTCCCTCCCCTTCTTTCCATTTTCTGTTCTCATCTCTCCTTTCATTTCCTGCCTGTGTTACACCAGCTACCAGTTGCCAAAAAGGTGGATTAGGTCACTTATCAAATCAGGAGGTTTTCCCTTGTCATTCATTTTCCAATTATACTGAAACTGAAAAGTAGTGTGGTTTTACCTCAAAAAAAAAAAAAAAAAAAAAAAAAAAAGCAGGACTTGTATTTTATCACTGGAAGGTTTGAGTAATAATAGGAAGGAGGTCTCGACTTAATATAAAAGCAGAGGAGAGATGCCTGGGTAGCTCAGTAGGTTAAGCATCCAACTCTTGATTTTGGCTCAGAGAATCCTGCTTGGGATTCTCTCTCTCTCCCTCTCTCTCTGCTCCTCCCCTGCTCATGCTATCTCTCTCTCACTCTCTCTCTCTCTCAAAATAAAAAAAATAAATAAATAAACGTAAAAAGATATATATAAGCAAGGGAGTGATTTTGAATCTTCAACTCCCAATATCTGTCTCAAACTGTTTTTATTTTGGATGATTAATTAAACACTTTCCTCTGGTTAACTGATAATTAGTCTATATTGCTGTACCTCACTTTGTAGATTTGGCTGCACATATCTACAGCTGCAGATCCAATGGAACCCATACTGGTGGGGAAAACCATGTGATGTCTCCATTAGGAAAGGAGGATCAGACTCGAGAGTCCTACCTTATTTTGATTTCTAAGAATCAGCTGGTCTCACTGGGGAGAATGCTCAGGCCTTGGCTATACTAAATCCATAGTAATTCTGAAATACAGAGGATGAAATAAAAAATGGTGGAACTTCTCAGGATCCCTGCAAAACATACCATGATTCCTTCCAGTGTTTCCTTCCCCCATCATTCCTTGCACAGTGCTCGGCCAAATCCAGTCTCTAAAGGACCGTTTCCCACGTACAACTACTGAATGCATTTGGGCCCCAAAGTAGCTTTCTAAATCTTACTAGATAACCGTAGAGACCCCATCTATGCATCTTCGCATCAGTGATCCACAGCTCAGAAAGCATAAAAGAACAAATTAAAAGTTTGAAGTATTACAGCTTTCTCTGCCAGACATATTTTGCCAACTGGTAACCCATGAACTCAAAATTCTTACTGACAGAAAAGTAAAAAAATCCCATGTTGCCATGTGGTTTATATTTAGTGGATCATCAAAATAGGCATGGGATAAGGAACTCCAATCTTTAAAAAAATGTAAGCAAAGCTCAGTCTTAAAAGATTTACAACAGAAATAGTACTAATAAAATTATCCTATAAAGTAATTTTTAATGGAGTCAAGTTAATTCAAGTCATATATTGTGGGGGTAAAGATGGAAAGCAATAAATAAAAGAAGGTGGAAGAAAACAAATGTGACCTTGATGACTCCTCCAAAGTTTATAACCTCCACATCGGTTCTTTTCATCCCCTGGTGATATTAATCTTCTATTTATTTTGCTACTGTAATCCTCAGTAATTCTAAATTTGCATAGAGATCGCCCTTTCAAAGTTGGTCTATGCCTGTTCTTTCTCACCTCACAAAAAGTAAAGGAAAAAAGTGTGTGTGTGTGTGTGTGTGTGTGTGTGTGTGTGTGTGTGTGTGTACTGTTGGTGGTTAAATATCGAGTTGGGACTTCCTCTTTGAACAGTTGCTTTTTCCTCTCACACAAAGGAGATCTCATTTTGTTTGAGACTGGATATAGTTGAAATCAAACCACACACCAAGAGGGTATGATGGATAAGAAGCCCCCAAAACCAGCTCCTCGCAGGATCTTCCAAGAAAGGTTAAAGATTACTGCTCTACCTTTGTACTTTGAAGGTTTTTTGTTAGTCAAGAGGTCAGAATGCCAGGTAAGTCCATAGATGATAACGTTGCAACTAGCAGCTTCTGCCTTAATATAAAATTTGTTTCATGGTGATGTGATGTGACAAGTGCCACCTTGTTTTTGTTGTGATTAAGCCCTCTTCCCTGAGCTCAGAAATATGATGCCAATTTTGCATAATTATAAAGACAATGTGTGGCTTAAGCACATTCAGGTATATATGTATGTATTATATATAATAATGTAACATTCTAATGTTAAGTCACCAATGTAAAAAAAATTGAATAAGCTACATTTCCAAAGAATTTATGTAAACATAACAGAAGATTTCAGCTTGGAAGATAAAATGTTTGATATTTTTTTCTATTTACTAGTATGCTTCCACAATGACTTGTATCACTTAATACAAAATATTATGATTGAAATGAAAACTTTTGCTCTTCCTCTTAGTTGTTTGAAGTTTACAAATAATGGTAAAATTATTTTTTAATAGTAAACTTTTGTAAAAATAAATTATGAAAATGCTAAAATTGATATTGTTTAACATTAAATATAGTTGTGTATTCTAAAAACATGAAGATAGTGACTTGAAAAGACAATATGTAGGTTGCAGTGTATGTAATATGTACACTAAGATATATAAATACATTCATTCTAACAAAACTCAAAAAGCAGTTCATATGTTTTAAAATGTAAAAATGAAAAATTATAAATAAATAAGTTAAAATCAGTGCTTTGAAAATACCAGTTATGGATAATTTGAAGTTAATGAGAGAAATAAACATGAAAGTGTCTGTTACTAATTAAAAAAGAAATCATTAAGCTGGGTCAAATTTTATGAAATTTTAAAAGTAACAAAGTAGCAAAAAGTTACGTGTTTCAAGAAATGTCATCAGAAATGTTTAATAATGATAATAAGATATGTTTTCTTAAGATTTATTAACGGAAAAATTGTGAAAATATCTACAATAGCACATTCGAGGTTTTTGTAAAGACATGGTAGTTTATATTCTGTTAGAGGTGTTAAACATGTATTAATAAATTTGTCAGTTATATTAGAATATTTTTTGGTTCCTCCTACATGCTTTTATTTTTTGTATCTTTTTCTTTTTTTCATTTTCATTTTTTTAAGTTTATTTATTTTTGAGAGAGAGAGAGAGAGAGCCTACACAAGCATGTGTGAGAGAGGAGCAAAGAGAGAGCAAGAGAATACCAAGCAGACTCCACACTCTCAGTGCAGAGCCCAGTGTGGGCTCTTTCCCACCAACTGTGAGATCATGACCTGAGCCAAGCTCAAGAGTCGACCACTTAACTGACTGAGCTACTCAGGTGCCCCCCCTCTTATATGCTTTGAAAGTGAATTTTACCTTGTCACAATAGGTTAGCCACATGATTACTTTGGCAGGAAAGAGGAATTGGGAAAAAGAAATTTCTAATTTGTAATTAAAATTTTTTTTAATGTTTATTTATTTTGAGAGACACAGAGACAGAGCTTGAGTGGGGGAGGGGCGGAGGGAGAGGGAAACACAGAATCTGAAGCAGGCTCCAGGCTCAGAGCTATCAGCACAGAGCCCGACATGGGGCTCGAATCCACCAACCGTGAGATCCTGACCTGAGCCTAAGTCGGATGCCCAACTGACTGAGCCACCCAGGCACCCCTCTAATTTGTAATTTAAATTTGACTATTCATTAAATGTTCATCGAAGTATTTATAATAACTGTTTCTGATGATGGTTAGCAGGAAGAACAAGGATTTTAGAGGCAGTAAAACATGTCTTTACCTGATGGTTTTGCCACTTAAACTGCTTGTGATCTTGTGGAATTTACTCTATCTTCTTGAGATTCAATTTTCTCAAACTATAAAATGGAAAAACTACAACTTGCCACCTAAAGTACAATGCCTGGAATACAACAGGTGTTCAACTAATTTATTCACTCAAACAATGTTTATAGTGTGTCCCCTATGCATCAAGCATCCTACCGAGTTCCAGAGAATATAAATATAACACAAAGATCCTACCTTCAAGAGGCTTAGTCTACAGTAAGGAGTGATGACTCTCTTACCTGACTGTTACTCTACCTTTTCTTAGAAAGCATACTTTGAAATGGAAAGAATAAACTATAGATATAAATATTTCTGATGAAATTGACTTGTTTCCACTCGAATTCATAGCAACATCTTTCACTTGTATGTCAAGGAGAAGAGAGCAAGAGGATAACAATATTGTCTAATTATAGGGTGGTTTCAAGGATTAAAGAAGATAACATATAAAATACCTGGCTTACACTAAAGGTTATATTCATTCATTTTATTATTTATTATAATCTTATTAACATACTAAAATCAGTTTTGAATCCGTAGGTACGGTTGACCCTTAAACAACATGGGTTTGAACAGTGTGGGTCCACTTACACTTGGATTTTTTGATGAATATAGTACAGTGCTATATATGTATCTTTTTCTCCAATCGTTTTCTTAATAACATTTTTCTCTAGCTTACTTTATTGTAAGGATAGATATATAATACAGATAGCTTACAAAATATGTGTTAATCGACTGTGTTACTGGCAAGGCTTCTGGTCAGCAGTGGGCTATTAGTAGTTAAATTTTTCTGGAGTCAAAAGTAATATGTGAATTTTTGACTGTGCAGGAGGGTCAGCACCCTAACCCCCTACATTGTTGGAGGGTCAACTGGTAATATGGCTCAAAGGAGAGCCACAGAGCTAGAGCGCTAGTGAAAATAGAAGCTGTGAGAAAAATCTAAGGAAAATAATGGGATTTCTAGGCAGCAGCGAAGTGCCTGGGAACCTTTAAAAGTGAAGGAAAGCCAGGGGATATATGGAAGGTTATCTTTAAAAGAAAATGGGATAGAGGAAGTTGGGATACTCTGCAGAACGTTAAGTGGGGTCTTTGTTGAAGGAATTCAGAACATTTAAACTAGAGAAAATATAACTGAGGACTAACCTGGTCTGTAAGGAGATCACACATTTAGAGGTGCTTCCTAGCTATTTTTGTGACAGGGGACTTGTAAGAATTTAAGGATTTTTGCCCCTAGGAAAAGGTACCAACATGTACCATTTTAAATGCAATTCCAGAAAGTCCATGGATCCCAGGTCAAGAATCCATTAAAAATACATAATCTTCATGAAAAAGATAATGTGGACTTACTTAAACAACAGCACGAGAATTTTGGACTGATCAGGAAGATTTATTTGATAATAAGCTCTATTAAATGCCACAACAGGATGCCAATGAAAACACAGTTTTGCAAATGGGGAAAATTCTCATTTTTCTGGAACTGTTTGAAATTAAGATAGAGGTGTGCCTGGGTGGCTCCGTCAATTAAGCGTCAGACTTCGGCTCAGATTATGATCTTGTGGTTCATGAGCTCAAGCCCCACATGAGGCTCTGTGCTGACAACTCAGAGCCTGGAGCCTGCCTCGGATTCTGTGTCTCCCCCTCTGCCCTCCCTGCTTGTGCTCTCTCTCTCTCTCAAAAATAAATAAACATTAAAAAAAATTAATAAAAAAATCAGAGATAGAACTTGGGCAACATTTCATAGTTTCTTCAATCTGTGATATGCCTTAAAAACAATATGTATAATATGTCTTTTAATTAACTTGAACATAAGAATGTGGTCACCATATCAGTGTCAAAATAACATATCTCTGACTAGTCCTCACCACTAGTTCATTTAGAATTATACTGGTATATTTATAAGAGCTTATCTGAAACTCAATCAAGACTGTGACCCACTGGTCTCTGTGTACTGAATATAAGTTTGATCTATTCTTAGGGTTGTGGCTGTGGTTGAAGTTCACAGGACCTATTGTTATTTGTAATCTTACCTTTCCTCCGGGCTGCCTTTATTCTTAGCTCACTACCTTTGTTCTTGCTTCTTCCCCCCGCCCCACCCTTAATAAACCCTCCTTAATCCTTTCCATGAATCTGTATGTTTATCAGTAAAACTCTTATTTTTCCCTGATTAATTCTACCCAGTTCATATCATTCTCTCCTGACTGAACCACCTCTGTAATTTTTCTTAGAAGCATAGATGGATGTCACCTGTATGTATAGAAGGAACTCAATAAGCTTTGGCAATGAGGGATTTTAGTTTTCCTATCATATGGCAGGTTAATACCCATAGATCTAATTTGGAAGACGAAGAGAGTGGTACACTTTGATTTCAGAGTTTTCTCTTGCTTACTTTTTAAATTTTTTTTTTCTACGTTTATTTATTTTTGGGACAGAGAGAGACAGAGCATGAACGGGGGAGGGGCAGAGAGAGAGGGAGACACAGAACCGGAAACAGGCTCCAGGCCCCGAGCCATCAGCCCAGAGCCCGACGCGGGGCTCGAACTCACGGACCGCAAGATTGTGACCTGGCTGAAGTCGGACGCTTAACCGACTGCGCCACCCAGGCGCCCCTCTTAATTACTTTTCCTCCAAGAAATCATAGAATCTCCAGTTTGAACTTGATCTTAGATGCCATACTCCAGTAAAACCACACACCCTGTCATTAAGTTCTCCAACCAATTTGCCTACATTCTGATCTTCCCTCTCTCCCTCACTCCCGTCCTAGTTCCAAATTATAGTGTAGCTTCGACTTGATTCCTGCATGGCAGAGGCTTACCAGTAGAACGGGATGTGAAAGGCTTAAAAAGAGAGATATGATTACAAAAATTAAAAAGAGAGATATGATTTTCTGTCTCCCAATTTTGAAACCAATTAAAAATTAAGACAGAGGAATCCCACACAGATCAATTAGGTACTTTTATCATTAATAAAATCTATCGCTATGTTGTTTAGATTTATGGCCAAAACAATGCTAACACTTTATACCAGATTTAGGTAGGCTTGAGCTACCTTGAGTCACTCACTAACTCAGTTTAAAAGCCACAAGCCTACCCCTCCTGGAGGCCCTTTACCACATGGCAGGACCAGAAAAAGAACACCTACTCTCTCCTAATACGCTGAGCACAGAGAGGATAGAAAGGGGCTAAGTTGGACATGTTGCCTCTTAATTCACTCTGGCTGTACTGTGCAGGATAGATTTGAGGACATAAGAAGGTGGCAGAGAAACCAGGTAAATGCTATCGCAATGCCAATAACACATTGGCTGATTCTTCAATCCTATGCCCCTTTGAATTGGTCTTTTCTATGTTAATTTGTTCTTAGCTCAGGAGGTATCAGCAGGTTCCTTATGTAACATTATAGCCAGCTCTCGATTAGGAGGTAGGATGGACTGGAAAGACCACAGGGTTGGACAAAGAAACTTGTCCCACCTTCCAACTCTGCCCCTGAAGTAGATTGCTACAGTAATACTACCAATTTGTTCAAGCCTCACTGTATGCATTCCCCCTTTGAAATGTGACTTCTCTGGTCTTTCATGAAGAGATTGACTTTATTTTTCTACCCCTTGAAATCTGGACTAGGTCATGCTTCGGTAAATGTGACAAAGGGAGAAAATTAGAAACCTCACACATTAGGTTTGCCTTCTCTTGCTCCTGGGAATCCTTCTGCCAGCATGTGAACAAATATAGGCTTACCTGACTGGAGACAAGACCCTGTGGAATGAGACTCTGGTTTTCTCAGTAGAGTGTTTTCCAACACCAACAACTACTTCTCTGACTCTCTGGACACCATCTGGCTGTTCAACAATTCAGCTGAATTCTGACACTACCTATCCAGATGTAGTGCAAACCCCACCGCTTAGTTAAGGGCACAGTCCCACAAGACTGCCCTCCGCTTCAGTCACCAACTGAAAGTCCCAGACCTCCTATACTTCTGACCAACTCACTATAAATCAAAAGCTGCCATGATTCCCTCTGAAGACTTTATAATTTATTAGACTGGCTCACAGAACTCAGGAAGCCACGTTACTTACATTTTCTGGTAAAAGATACAAATGAACAGGCAGATCAAGAGGTCCATAGGGCAAGATCTGGAAGGGCCCCAAGCACACATGCTTCTGTCCGTACTGAGTTTGGCTGTATCAACCTCTCAACATGTGAATGTGTTCACCAATTAGGAATTTTATCAAATCACATTGTTCAAGAATTTTTATGAAACTTAAATCTCCCAGCCCATCCTCCATTTTTCCTAGAGGTTGGTAGGTAGGGCTGAAAGTTCCAACCCAGTAATCAGTTGTCCTTTTAGCCACCAGACCTATCTTGAAGCTATCCAGGCATTCCATCCTAAGTCATCTCATTAGTATAAACTCAGGTATTACGTAAAGTGACTCATTACTAGTAACAAAAACAGTCCTACCATTCAGGAAATTTGAAGGGTTTTAGGATCTCTGTGCCAGGAAATGGGGGACAAAGACCAAAACATATTTCAGTTCTGCATTCCCAGCTAGGACCCCAGGCAAGTGTGTGAGGCCACCCCTAGACCAGCCACAGTGAAGTATATCCAAAGAACGATCATCCAGCCACAGAATAATGGGAAATAGCAAACATTTGCTATTTTAGTCCACTAAGTTTGAGGGTGGCTTGTTACACAACAAAAGCTAACTAATATAGCACTTTATCAGCCATGAAGAAAAAGGGATAAAATAGTTCTACTAAGAACATGAGAAAGATGATTGTTGTAATTCAGAATGAATTTAATCTTGAGCTTCGTGGGAACCAAGACAAATAAAAACAAGATGGGTTACAGAGTTTCCATTATTTGAGAAAAGAAGTATATCAGTTCTGAAGAGGTGAGAAACAGTTTGATGGGCTAAGAAAGGATAAATGGTATGTCAGTATTAGACACAAAATGCCATAATATATAAAAGTGTCTTCACATTTATAAGCATAAGAAAAAAATCATGTAATTCTCTTACATTAATCCTCAATATAAGTCAAGATAATCCAGCATGTCATAAACATTGAGCTTATTAAACTCTAAAGGAATGATTAACATGTCTATAAAACTGGAATTTTTAAAAACATATTTTTGAAAGAGCTGGGTATGAAGGTAAGTATTTACACTTGGAAGGATTTTATTCTCGAAACCCCCATGTCATTCTTTTGTAATACAGCCAGTCTTCACAGAATGTAAATTCCCCTTATTTAAATAACTTTCACTTGAGTGAAATGAAACTAGGTTATTTAAATTTTTTAAACCTAAAAAGTTGTATTTCTATAAAACCCATAATAATGTGAATGTAGCAATAATGAATGAAATTCGGACTTCAATGTTTAGCTTTGATGTTAAACTATTTTTATGATTATGAACTATTCCATTGCCTTTATTTATATAAACATACACTATTTATAGGACCCACACTATAAGCCATGTACTCTAAGTGCTTTACATATGCCAATTTATTCAATCCTTTCAATTGTCCCGGAATCTAGATATTTAATGCTTGTCCTATCTTGACCCCTAAATGGCTCCTCTTACAGGTGCAGGCTTCCACTGATGCCTACATAAAAAGTCAAGTGTCTTAAATCAATGGGGAAAGTTTTGAAAAATGACCTATTTAAACACAAATCAAATTACATCCTTACCTCACACCTTATGCTAAAATAAATTTGTGAAAGATTTAATCAAGACCTAGATGTAAAGGGGAGCCCTGGTGGCTCAGTCGTTTAAGAGTCCGACTCTTGGTTTCAGCTCAGGTCACGATCTCAGGGTTTGTGAGCTCAAGTCCTATGTTGGGCTCTGTGCTAACAGTGCAGAGCCTGCTTGGAGTTTTCTCTCTCTCCCTCTCTCTCTGCTGCTCCTTGCTCTCTGAATGAATGAATGAATGAATGAACTTTAAAAAAAGGAGTTAAATGTAAAATTAAGCCATAAGTTAGGTGATTTATCTCAGGGTAAAGAAGAAACCTATATCAAACAGCAATTAAGGAAGTTACAAAGAAAAGTGGTAACAAGAAAACAGTTGAATATATACCAATGAAATAATGCTCTTTCTTTCCCACAGGAGTATAAACATTACTGGACAGAGTTGAGAGGAACTACACTTTTTTTTTATTCTGACAAAAAAAGTCCAACAGTAAGTAGTTAAACACATTTGACTGGTTCCATTTTTTCCAATATAGACATGTTATATAGTTTTATTCATTTGGGGTTTTCTGTCTCTCAAGAGTAAAGATATTCTAGTAAAACCAATTCAAATAAGAACGTTGATATCTGTGGATACTATCAGATATAAGACCTATGGTAAAGTTTCCAGGGCACCTACGAAGAAGATATAAACTTGTGTCTTTAGTTTTGCATTTTTTTCTTTCTGATCCCAATGGTAGAAACTTAGTTGAAAAGTGAAAATTTTAGCTAGGTAACAAGATACAACTTGCTTAATGCCAAGGGGTAGCCTTAATTTCCCCAGTTTTTTATCTTGCTGTATCATGCAGTTATTATCTGAAAGAAACTAGATGATCCCCAAAGCCTCATAACATAAAATATGTCACAATTTAATTTTTCTAGGGAGATGAAAACATAACCTGCTAAAGGGACTTCTAAGAGCTTAAGCATGAGAATAAAGAGATTCTGAGATTTATTTATTAGTATTAATTTCAAATAATTTATTTTTAATTTTTTTATTTTTACATTTATTTATTTTTGAGAGACAGAGCGTGAACAGGGGAGGAGCAGAGAGAGAGGGAGACACAGAATCTGAAGCAGGCTCCAGGCTCTGAGCTGTCAGCAGAGCCGGATGTGGGGCTCAAACCCACGAACTGTGAGATCATGACCTGAGCCCAAGTCGGACACTCAACCAACTGAGCCACCCAGGCGCCCCTATCAAATACTTGATTTATATTTCAATTTTTCCAAAGATCAAAAACTGTGTATTTCATTTTTCCCACAAATAAAATGTAGCGTTTTAGTGTCAAATGTTTGCCTACCATGGAATGCTATACCTGTAGGAGATTTTATGATCTAATAACTTGTTTAAATACAAACATTTTGTACGATGGATGCAGTAGCCCACAGTTCTTGGAACATCATTATTACGTGCCCAGATTTAATGAAAGAGACAGAAAAAACAGCTTTTGTGATGTATTCCACCTTGCAGGTATTTTAGTGCCATTAGTGGTAAATTAACCAGAAATCATTTAAAAAACAAACAAACAAAATGTGTTGAGAACTGGGTATTACATGTAAGTGACGAATCACTAAATTCTATTCCAATATTACACTATATGTTAACTAATGAGAATTTAAATAAAAGATTGAAAAAAAATAAGAACATGCAAAAACAAACAAACAAAAACAAACTTAAAATGATGACTTTCACCAGAGTTCTGGACAGGTAAGATTCATATGGAGGTGTTTTCAAATGCCATAATAAATTTTAATAAAATGAATCCCTCCGTTGTGCCTTCCAACTTCCTACTGATGTCAGTGAGACTATGAGAGACCCTGGTCTAACCCTTGTACAGTATACATAGTGGGTGAGTGAATAGTTATTGCTCACTTGCTACCTGGCATGAGGCAGTACAGCTTAGTGAGTACAGCTTAGTGACTGCCGCCTGGTCTTCAGGCAGACTGCCTGGCTTGTTATCCTGTCTCTGCCACTGTGAACTGTGGGTCTTGGGCTAGTTACCTAACCTGTCTGTGTCAGTATATCAGACAGGGAACTGGTAGGAAACAGATGACATCTCAAATTGGGCATTTTTTTTTAAGATTTTATTTTTAAGTAATCTCTAAACCCAATGTGGGGCTCGAACTTACATATGCCCCTAACCAAGATCAGGAGTTCGTGCCCTACTGATCAAGCCAGCCAGGAGCCCCTCAGATTGGGCATTTTTGAAGACAGCTTAATGAAGATGCTATATTCAAAGCAGTGGACAGGATATAGGAAAACCACAAAGGATAGAATAGAACTCTGAGGCTAGGAACAGTTCCCTACTTTGATGCCCAGAATTTAAAAAAAAAAAAAAGTGGGAGAAGAGTGAACAGAAGTGTATGAAGATGACTACATTGAGAGGAGTAAGATCTTTGACTGAGGAAGCAATTGCATAAATACCTCACTCTCCTCAGGCTTCTGATCTCCTGCCAGTGTTAACTAGGGTCCAACACAATGGGAATAAAGGGACCCTTGATGTTGTCCCCACAGGTCCCTCTCCTGTGCACAGCACTGTGTGGTAAAGGGATAAAAGGAAACCCAGGGAAGCAAATAAAAGATCTTGTCCAACATCATTTCCAAATCCCTAAAATTAGGATAAAAAGAATCACCCATTACATGAGGTTATCAAAAGGATTAGACGAGATAATGAATTTAAGGACTTGAGAGATGAGCTGCCACATAGCAGGCATTCAAGCATTTTACATACATTATCTCACCTAATTCGCATAACAACTCTTCTGAGTGGTATACTATTTTAATCACCACTTATAGATGAGAGTAGTCAAGTTTAGGGATTCAGAAGTTGTACAAGATCAGACAGTTAATGAAAGGGGTACCATCCAGGTCCTGCTCCTGAGCCAGCATTCTTAACCACTATGCCATGAACAGACTGTTACAATGAAATACTGCAGAATTGTCCATCTACCCATTTTGTTAAAAGAGGGTGCAGACTTTAGGAAATTTGGGGAGGGGGCAATAGTCTCAGGAGAAAGCATAGAGATAGAACAGGCGAGAAGTGGAGATAATTCAGCTTATAGTAGGGAAGAATTTAAAGCTGCCTTGACATATTTGAAAGACTGTCAGGAGGTCATGTGAAAGAGTCAATGAATTCGTTTCATGTTATTACAGAGAAAGAGGACTAGGACCATTGGATGGAAATTAACTGGAGGAACGACTGTGCCTTGCTAGCAGGCAGAATGGCATAGAGGCATAAGTTCCATGTTGTTTGAGATATTCCAACATAGACAGGATGGCTACAGGGAGGGATGCCATGGAGGAGATTCAAGCATCAGATGGCAGCTGGATTAGACAGATGACCTTTAAGGCTCTTTTCAACCCTACAATTAAAAAAAAAAAAAAAAAAAAAAGATAAAACTTCCTTTCTTCTAATCAATAGATCAGCACTCTATCTAATTCGGCCACTTCCTCCTCTGTTGCTTCCTCCTTTGTCTCAGCAAAGTTTACTTAGCTTAATCTAGACAATCCATCAGAAAAAGATTTGTGTGCAATTTTTTTGATTCTGTCCTGCTTCCCTTATACCTTTCCATCCATTTTTAATTGCTCTTTGTCCATTGAAAATAAATAGGTCAACCCAAACGAATCCACAACTTCATCATTATAGAAATAGGTCTGGAAAAAAAATTTACTTACTTATTTTTCTGCCTTACTTTATTCAGAAAAATAAAATAAGGACACAAAGCAGAACCTAGTAAAATAAGTTCTATTGGTCAAAACAGAGGAAAATAAAAAAGTCAAGAATGAGGCTAATTCAGAAAAAAAAATTATGCCATAAAAACTCTACTATACTTACTGGAGGTGGATTTGATCTTCCCACACTAGAGAACAGGTCTGACCAGTTGCATACAGAGTAGCCTATATATACCAGTTGTTCAGAAGAAATATTCTAATTGTATTGGGCTAAGAGAGGAATTTCTTAATAGGATCCTTATAACCAGTGATGTGATAAATGTTGAAGAAGAGCATTCTTGAAAAAATCATGTGTATGAATATATGTATACAAGTTTATTATAAATATTACTGATATAAAGAATGTGTAGCACAAAGTTGAAAAAATAAAATATACAATTTTTAAAAATATTT